GGCAAGAAAACACTAGTGATTTGTGAAGTTTCCTCTTTTGTAAAATGGAAATGGTACTGGGTAATCTCAGCTTGTTCTCCATAGGAATCAGGTACACTCCTGAATGTACCATTCAGCTGGGGTACATTGTGGGGAGAGCATCACAGGTCAAATATGGGACGATTTATCCTTCCCTTTCTGTTTATTTCTTCTTGATGATGAAAGAATAATATCTAAATATGTGACCCTGGGCAAGTCAATTAGCTTCTCAATATCAGTTTTCTGATCTGTAAAATAAGAGGGTTACCTATTTTGAAAACAGCTATTTTTGGATTTTGGTAAAACCACTTACCTAAATTTATTTATGACTGGCTGTGTTGCAACAGGGCTAAGGGATTAAGAAAAAAAAAATTCAACTTTAATTTTACTTTTAGGAGTGAGAAGCTGAGGACATTGATAGACAATCAGAGAAGGAAATGTCTAAAATTACAAATATAATGACAGAACATTGTACATAAGTGGAGGTAAGATATTCAAAAAGATATAACCATATAAAGTAAGGAACATAGGCAGTTAGAACACAGATTCCCTGTACAAATTGTTTTGTGACCACAGTTAACTTATTATTTTTTGAGATATAGTCTCGCTCTGTTGCCCAGGCTGGATGGAGTATAGTGCCGTGATCTCAGCTCACTGCAACCTCCGCCTCCCGAGTTCAAGCGATTCTCGTTCCTCAGCCTCCCAAGTAGCTCGGGCTACAGGCATGCACCACCATGCCTAGCTAATTTTTGTATTTTTAGTGGTGATGGGGTTTCACCATGTTGGCCAGGCTGGTCTCAGGCTCCTGACCTCAAGTATTCTGCCTGCCTCAGCCTCCCAAAGTGCTGGGATTACAGGCATGAGCTACCACACACAGCCAACTTATTATTTACTCATTCAAAAATATTTGTTTTCATCTCTATATAATTAAATCTCTGACAGGCAAAGATTACCTTTCAATTGAAGCAGGCTCTGCATTTCATTGCCATGCAAATCAGCAAATACAACTTTGCCTCCCTGACCACTCTGTTCACAATGTAAACTGAAAAGCCAGCAGGAACTTACTTTGTTTCCCCTCAAAAGGACTGACAAAGTCCACAGCTCAGAAGCATCCATTTTTACCTGATTTTAGGAAATGGATTATAGTTTCCTAGGGACTGAAAATTAATCTACCACATTTATTTAAGTGGGTTCTTGCCCAGCCCATATTTTCACCCTTTAATGGTAATGAAGCTAAAATTTCTTTCCAGTCACTTTGCATATCATTTCCTTTCTCTTTAATTCTCTTTCGAAGTGAGATGATTGATAGATTCTTCTACAGCAGTCACTCACTTTGGTAGATGATTTTCTTTTTCCTTTGAAGTTGATTTTGAAAGGAGCTGTGTGTGATGAGCTAATTAGCACAAACACACAGAGTATATAACCTTAATTAGGCATGATTATAGGCTCAACGTAATGGGATGTCCTGAAACTGCATGCTATGCAAATATTAGACTTTTCATTCTTCCCATTACATCTGAAACCATCAAGCAAAGGATGTTTTGCAGTAGGTACCACAGTGGATGCCAGGTGCAAATCTTTCAATAAAAAGTTGATTTTTTTGTGTGTACGAGTTGGGCAAAGGATAATAGGAGGAGGTTTAGGAAAAAAAAGATTCAAAAATCTGAAAAGTTGAATTAAGTTCAGAATGAGTTTTACAAATTGAGGACTTTTACAATTAAGTGAAAAACCCAGTTACTCTTCAAACTCTACCTCATCTGGAATTCTGAAGATGCTTCACCATAGGCACCACTGTGAATTATGCAAATCTTGAGAGATCTTTCAAATCCAGTAACCACTAAGAGTACTATAAAACCAATCTGGGGTTTACTCAAGCTATTAGGATGTAAGAAGATAGTGAGTATAAATGAAATCACAGTGAATCCCCAAGTCCTAATTTTAGCTAATTATTTTCATTTCCTTTACCACCAACACCCCATCTTTTTGTAAAAAAAGAATTGGAGTGGTAAAAATAATTAGCAAATTGACTTTCCCCTTCCTAACCTGAAATGAAAATATCCAAGCATGTGGTTCCCTTAGACATTTGAATATTCAACCACTGAATAATCGAGAACTTATAATACATAATTATTAGATTATTTGTAGAGTTGTGAGTTTTCAGACTCAATCAGCTAAAAAAATAATAAGCTATTTGGTTCCAGATGCTCATGGAAATACTGACAAGGGCAGAAATTCAATATGTGAGTATTAGAATAATTAGTATCTGATTTTAATCTGAAATACCATCCATTCAGCAGAAATGATAATGAAAGAGGGTTTATATAATAGCTGAAGTTGAAAACACATAGCTTTCTCTGTGTTTAATACGTAAGCTATTTTTTCTGAGATAGTATATATCATAGGCACAATGTTCAATAACTCATTGGTATAGGCTCATTGAATCATCATAATAATGTTATAAGATAATTCCTATAAATTACCCATGTTTTACAGACGAGGAAGCTGAGGATCAGAGAAGTTAAAAAATGTCATCCAAGATCACATCTCTAGAAGCAGCAGAGCCAGGACTTGAACTGATGTGTTTCTGACTCCAGTCATGCTCTTAATCACTCTGCTGGGCTCATTAGTGCCTATCAGGCCTATGATTGTGTCCTTAGTGATTAGCACTTTCCCCAGAGCTGGAAAGGAGATGCAAGAGAAATAAAAACCTTGAGATCTAACCTGAAATGCAGAAATTCTCTACTACCTGCTAGGTACAAAGGAGGACCTGATTAGGTGCTTTGTGTGTGTTGAGGATGTAGGTGCTGTGGAAATAGAATTTAGACTAAGACAGACATAATTACACATGTTTGAGTATAGTAAATGCAAACCTATATGACACAACATGTTATTATTGTACATAAGATAACTGGGGAAAAATACTGAATGGGAATGAGAAGACGAAGATCTCAATCCAGTTTTTGCCACATTACCAAATGTAAGACTGGATCGATGAGGGTCTCAACAGGAAACAGGGGGTTCAAATAAAAGACTCAAGGAAAGAACTACTTTGAGAAAAATTAAGAAGGGTTAGGGGCAGTGGTTGGTAATGCACCCAGCAACAGTGGAAGCTGATAGCACCTCTAGGACGGAAAAATCTGGGAGAGGGCAGTGAAGAAAGACCTGGACTTCCACCTTGTGTTTTCTGATCTGCTGGGACCTTGCAATGCTAGGCCCTCAGAAGCCACCCTGATGGGTTACTAAGGAAACATTTTCTATTGGGTTCTGTCCCAAGTGGAGCTTGGATCTGAGGAAAGGGGTTGGAGAATCACCTTCGGCAATTCACTTTTCCTCTCTAAATTTCAGTTTGCTCATCTCCTGTTTATTGCCTACCATGTTATCAATAATATAAATAATTGGCCTTATAATTTTTACTTCCAAATTTTTGGAAAATCTTCAAATTTACAAAGAATTTGTAAGGGTAGTACCATGAACACACACACACATTCTTCACCTAGATTCACCAATTGTGAACATTTCATCACTGTTGTTTAATTCTTTTTACCTTCCTCTACTAACACAGACATATTTTTGCTGAACTATCTGAGAGTACTTGATGACATCTTGAGACTTAAACCTGGAATACCTATGTATTATCTAAAAACAAGGATGCTTCTCTATATAACCCCAGTACAATGATCACATTCAGGAAATTTAACATTAAGGTAATGCTATTATGAAATATAGGCTATATTCAATTTGCTTTGTGTTGTTTATTTTTTTCAGTGAAGAATCACACATTAAATTCTGTCATCATGTCTCTGTTTTCTCCTTTAATCTAGAATGGTTTTCCAGGCTTTTCCCTTTTTAATCTTTTGTGATGTTAACATTTTTCAAGAATCTAGGTCAGTTATTTTGCAGAATACGGATTTGTCTGATCAGTTCCTCAGGTAAAACAATTTTGGCAATAACTACACAAAGTTGTTGTGTCCTTCTCAGTGTATTGTATCTGGAGGTACCTGATGTCAGAACACTTCATCATGGTTATCTTCAGTTGGATCACTTGGTTAAGGCAGTATCGCTAGATTTATCAATTATCTTTTCCGTTTTGTAATTATCAAGTAATCTGTGGGGTGGTATATGTGAATACGTCTTTTCTCACCAACATTCTTTTACCAAGCATTTTTTTTAAAACAACCATTTGAATTTTCTTGCTATGACAGATGTAGTTTCAAAAAGCATAAAGAACCTGGTAAGACATCTTTGAAAGTTCTAATTACAGTGCTCATCTCTTCTACGTTAAACTGTTTTCATTCATTTACCTACTCATTTAACAAATGTTTAGAGTATGCTCGTTTTGTGGCTTGGCCTATGATGTTTTAATCAGTGGCTTCATGGTTGTCTAAACTAATGTTTTTTACCCCATATCTCTTCCTGTGCTCCAGAATCCTATTGGCAACTGCTTTCAGGTCTCTCCATATTAATATTCATGGAGGCCATAAACTCAACATACTCAAATGAAAGCTGTCATTTCATGTTCTCACCTGCTCTTCCTATGTTGTTTATCCCAGTAAATTACACCTCTGTCTTCTCAGTGACCCTATAATAAGAAATGACTATTTATTGGGTGGTTATCCATTACAATAGGCCTTTTTTTTTTTTTTTTTTGAGTCGGAGTTTCACTCTTGTTACCCAGGCTGGAGTGCAATGGCGCAATCTCGGCTCACAGCAACCTCCGCCTCCTGGGTTCAGGCAATTCTCCTGCCTCAGCCTCCTGAGTAGCTGGGATTACAGGCACGCGCCACCATGCCCAGCTAATTTTTTGTATTTTTAGTAGAGATGGGGTTTCACCATTTTGACCAGGATAGTCTCGATCTCTTGACCTCGTGATCCACCCGCCTCGGCCTCCCAAAGTGCTGGGATTACAGGCGTGAGCCACCGTGCCCGGCCTTACAATAGGCCTTTTATACGTGAATTATCTTATTTAATCTTTTCAATAATATTGAGAAGTAGATGCCATTACCTGGAGGACATTGGGTGGAGCCACAGGTCAACAACAAGCATGTCTTCATGCCAGGATGCAAATCCGGTTAACTTGGATTTCAAAATTTTTGCTTTAGTGTAGTGATAAAGATTATCACTGGCTTCAAATCCTGGCTCTACCACCTGCTATGGGTGATTGGACAAGTCACCTTAACTTTCAATGCTTTGGTTTCCTTCTTTATAAAATGGGAAAAATGACAACTCCTGTCTTGTAGGATTGTTATAAGACTTGAAAGAAACAAAACTTGACATCTGAACAATTTCTGCAGCACCACAGTACTTCTGAAACCATAGTTGTGGTGTCATTCTAAAATTCTCCCTCCACTCACTGAATGTGGCCTAGTCTCATAGAGACCTTGCCTTCATAGCTGCAATACCTTAGTTTAGACCAGGGGTTGGCAAACCAGGGCCCACAGGCCAAACCCAGACTTCACCTATTTTCGTAAATGAAATTTTATTGGAGGGCACACACACCCATTTGTTTACATATAATAGATGGCTGCTTTCATTCTAAAATGACAGAGGTGAGTAGTGGCAACAGAGACCATTATTGTTGGCAAATCATAATATATTTACTATTTTGCCCCCTACAGAAAGTTTTCCAAATCCTGGTGCCTAGGATATTCCAATAGTCTTCTTCCCAGTTCTCCTGGTTACATTTGTCCCTGAACCTATCCTCCCCATCCCTTAAATTTCCCCAAAATGCGAACTCAGTCACACCAATTTGCTCCTTATGTTTCATTGGCTCTTGCTGCTAAGAGTGCCAGCTTGCGCCTTCCGCCCATCCCCAGACAAGCTTGTTCTTTGACCATAATGAGCTTTTCATGCCATTTCCAACTTTTGCGCATGCTGTTCTTCTTGTCTGAATCTCCACCCTTTTCCCTGTCCTCAATAATAAGTTCAAGCTTTTCTCCCTCTGAGAAGTCCTTTCTGACTTCCATAGGCTGAACCCCTGGCTTCTGCTCCTCTACATAACACATCAATTCTAGCATTGATCTCACTGTAACATGATTGTGCATTTGGCTGTCTGTCCTTGCCACTACTGTGTGTTCCTCTTGAGGGCAGGAACATTTGTTTTTCCCTTTTAGAAAATCTCTGGTGCCCAGTCTGGCATTAGTAAGTGCCCATTAGGTTGCTATTGTTTGTCAGCATTTGAGCTTGGGTTTAAAGGTTTCTATAAGGTGTAGTGGAGTATAGAAAACAAGCAGGTCAGAAGAGGCTTCCTGGAGGAGGTGACAGCTAAGCTAAGTCCCGGAGGATAAAATAAGATAATAGGAGAAATAAGGCAGTAGGAACAGCATGGGTAAAGGTGATGAGACCTGAAAGTGGCATGTGGAAGGAAAGAGAAATGCAGGAAGAGGGGGCATGGGAGGGAATGCTGGGGGACAGGCCAAAGAGGGAGGAATTTGGTGAGTATTCTTCAGAGACTCCTTTGCTGTGCTGAGGTGTGGACAATGGGAAAGCATGGATGGGCTGGAGTTAGGCAAGTGCCATATTCCCTTCTGCAACTGTCTGTTTGCATGTCAGCCTTCTAGAAACTCCTTAAGGCATCAACTATGTTTTTGTCTTGTCATCAATCAATCCTAAGTGTACACAATTCCTGGCATATGATAGGCTCTCCATAAATGTTTCTTTCTTTATTAAAATGCATGAAAACTCTCCAGATTTAAGGATGGTCCTCAATGTTTCAAATTCTTTTTGTTAGATCATTGATCCTGTCTACAGCTGTCGCAAATTTAAGAACTCTGGTTGTAGTTAACCTTCAATTTTGAATTTTCTGCTTGAAAAATTTCCATGAGGAAAAAAAGCCTATCCTCTTATGGAAGGCTCTAATCTCTTAATCATTTTGGTTGACTTTTCTTTGGATCTTCTTCAACGTTTTGTCTCTGTTAAGGCTTTTAAGAACATCTGAATTCTTTCCTTCTGCAAAACCAGAGGAACATTTTTTTTCTGCCTATTTTCAGTTTATTCCTTGTGATTTTGGTATTTTCTCTTAACCAAATACTAAATGGAGTTAGGAGAAATAAACTTCTTTGTAAAGCATGTCAAGGGACCATTAGAAGGATGGTGCCTCACAGATAGAATACAGTTTTTATTAATGATGCCTACATATAAATCCTGCCATTAGCTCAAGGGCTCAGAAAGCTAGCAGCCTAGCAGTTCAGGATATGTCAATGAAATGAATTGGGTAGTTAAGGATGCCCAGAAGATTGAATAAAATTGGGATTTAGGAGGACCCTTGTACTCCAGGAAATTCTCCAAGTCTTCTCTTAGTTATCCAGACCCTCAAAGTGAACATGAAGCTCCAGTTTCAAATTGAGTACATTTTCCATCCATGGATTGACTTGTTTTGCTCAGTTGAGTGCTTGAAGTTGTCTTGTCGACGTAACAGCTAACCTACGGCTTCCTTTCTCGTAAAACCAAAACAAAAAGGCTTTCTATTCAAGTGCCTTCTGTGTGTGCACATGTGTAATACATACCCGGGATCAAAGCTGTCTATATAAAGTCCTTGATTCTGTGTGGGTTCAAACAGATTTCAAAGCTTCAGGATCCTGAAAGGTTTCGCTCTACTTCCTCAAGACCTGAACACCGCTCCCATAAAGCCATGGCTTGCCTTGGATTTCAGAGGCACAAGGCTCAGCTGGATCTGGCTCCCAGGACCTGGCCCTGCAAGCTCCTGTTTTCTCTTCTCTTCATCCCTGTCTTCTCCAACGGTGAGTGAGACTTTTGGATCACGAAGATGGAGGAGGTGTTTCTCCCACCTGGGTTTCATTTCTTTCAGCAGTCAAGGGCAGTGATTTATAGCAAAGCCAGAAATTAAAGGTAAAACTCCAATCTGGCTTGGCTGGCTTTGTATTCCAGGGCCAGCAGGGAACAGTTGGGCAGCAGCAAATAAGCAAAGACACAGCTCAGAGCAGAGTGCCAGGTATTTAGCAAGGACTTCATGAATTCATGAGAGTTGGTTTAGGAGACACAGGCAATTTCAGACCCTTCTATGCGACTGGAAGTGATTAAGAGGAAAAGGATATCCACAGTCCTGAATACATTTGAGCTGGGTTTCAGGATGAGCTCACAAGTTCCTTTTTTTTTCTTTTTTTTCAAACCAAACCAAACTAAATAAAAAAACCTAAAAAACAACCATTGACTTTAAGCAAATCCTGGGAAGAGTTTCTTTCCCATACAATTCAAGGTTTTAAGGTCCTCGGATTCATATGCTTTATAAACGAATTAGCCAGCTTGTTTAAAATTTAGGGAAATCGTGGGAAGAATGGCTTCTTTACTCAATTCAAGATTTTAAGGTTCTCTTAATCAATTTTACAAACTAATGAGTCAATTATTTAAAAACAAAAGTTTGAAATTGCCAAAAAAAAAAAGAGGAAGGAGGAAAGAAAGTCTGTTTGGCATATGATAATTATTGCCTGACCTACATGTGGGCTTCAGATGCAGCTCCTCAGTTTTCAGCTCTTCAGAGACTGATACCAGGTTTGTTACATGGCTTAAAATGATGAGCACTTCCATTGAATGTCAATCTTATCTCTCTGTAGACTTTCTTGATTAAGAAACCAATGTGGTTTGTATGAAGTAGGTGCTCAAAAGATATTTGACGATTTAATTTCTACTGGAGAAGAAATATTCACATATGTTTTCTTATTTTTACATGTTTTAAATATGTAAAGATTAAATAATACTCAGGACTATTTAAATTTACAAGTTTTAAATATGTAAAGATTAAATACTCTTAGAAGTATTTAAATTTCCTAAAATAAATTTATCTTAGCCAGTAACCAGGACCCTCTCATGACAGATACTGGAAAGCTGAGTGTGACCACATTTAGTGGTGATAAGTGTGAACTTGGCTGGGGAGAGGGCAGGACATTTAGGATTTTTAAAGCTTAGAGTCAATACAATAAAGATTATTGAGTGTCCACTTGGGTGAGATATAATCATTGCTCGCAGGAGTTCATGAACCACAAGTAAAAGAGTAGGAAGACATGATTAATTCACAAATAACTTTAATACAGGGCAGAAGGTAATGAAGTACTGCAATGGAGTTATCACAGTGCTATGGATGATCAGAGGGCATCTCTGATAGGCAGAGGCAAGGGTTAGGGAAGGAGACTATAGTCTAGCTAGCCATGGCTGCTGGAATATACATGCCAATGGCTGCTGCCAAACTGTTTTCTCTTCTGAGGATGGATGTCCAGTACAGGCAGCTTGGCAGAAGAGACTAGTGTGTCTAATATAGGGTAATTTTTATAAGCAGAAAAGTGTGTCCTAGAAATTCGGCTGGAGTGACAGATTGGAATTGGAATCTGGAGGACTCATTGAATGTTATTTATTTTGTTCGTTTTTGCAATCAGTGTTAGTAAAGTGTCAAAGGGGTTGAGCAGGTGAGTGACATCATGCAACACAAGTTTTGGGTTTCACTTGTCAGATTGACTGGAGAGGGGCCAGGTTAGTTACAGGAAGATAATTTGGCACACAGCCACTGTTTTTGAATTGATGCAAGCCTCTCTGCATGGATAGCTCATCTTTATGCTGTAGAACCCAGTGGGAAGAGAGAACAAAGGAGCATGGGAGTGTTCAAGTGAAGGAGAAAGAAAGGGCAGAAAGGCGGCAGTGGTGTCAGGGGAAGCCCACGGGAGTTAACAGCAGGGTTGCCTCAACCTGGAGAGGAAACGACCCGGTGCCCTCGGCTCTGTGGCTTCCTTCATCTAACAACATCTTCCACTCTACAACAATGCCAAGGAAGGTGGAGGCTGGTACAGTGCTTCAAGACACAGCTACTTCTGGGTGCTAAGCTCAATAAATAGGCAGAGGTTTTTGACATATGCTTGGAGAGATAAAGCAAGATTCTGTACTTCAAGCTTCAGAATTTCCCCTACCACTCATAGTTCCGGAACTATATAGTTCCTATTGTTCTGTCATAACCTTCAAACACCAGTTGATATCATCTCATCTCACTCTCTCTTACTGTATGTGAGAAAAATGAAGGACATGAGGGAAGTGTGACTTGCCCCAAATCACATATTTCATGGTTGAGCCAGGTCTTTTGTTTGTCATATCAGTGTTCTTCCTGCCGCAACCATCTTGAAGAATCCATTTCCCAGTAAGAAAACATCTTTATGGAGAGTAGCTGGAAAACAGTTGAGAGAGGGAGGGGAGGCTGGGGGTGTGGGTAGGGTGTGGATAGGGGAAGGGATAGGTGATGGATTTGTTGAAGAGGGAGAGAAGGGCATGGGGGTGAAGCTAGAATGCTAAAGGGCTTGCCTGGGCTTGGCCACAGAGAAGCATGAGTTAACTGAATTCCCTTTGGCTTTTCCATGCTAGCAATGCACGTGGCCCAGCCTGCTGTGGTGCTAGCCAGCAGCCGAGGCATCGCCAGCTTTGTGTGTGAGTATGCGTCTCCAGGCAAAGCCACTGAGATCCGGGTGACAGTGCTTCGGCAGACTGACAGCCAGGTGACTGAAGTCTGTGCAGGAACATACATAATGGGGAATGAGTTGACCTTCCTGGATGATTCCATCTGCACGGGCACCTTCAGTGGAAATAAAGTGAACCTCACCATCCAAGGACTGAGGGCCATGGACATGGGGCTCTACATCTGCAAGGTGGAGCTCATGTACCCGCCGCCATACTACATGAGCGTAGGCAACGGAACCCAGATTTATGTAATTGGTGAGCAAAGCCATTTCACTGAGTTGACACCTGCTGCATTGCTGTCTTCTATGCGTAAAAACGGTTTTGTTCCTTAATTTCAGGTGGTTTATTTTTAGGACTGTGGAAATTCTCTTTAAGAGCTTACTACCACACGATAGCCTTGCTTGTTATGGGTGGCAACCTTAAGAGCATTCTGACTATACAATAAAATGATTTGGGGAAGTTGGGGCGCTAGCTCTGGAGTGCTAACCATGATGGCGTTTGACCTGTGCTTTTGAGATGATGTGCTGCTCCTGGGGAAGAAATCTCAGATAGCCAAACCTATTGGTGGGCTACCCATGCAGTTTTGGGGTGGTCCTCAAGGCCTGGAAGCTCTAACTTTCTTTTTTCACCAATGTGCGGGAGTAGAGCCTCAGAGTTGAAAACTGTCTCAGGGAGGCTCTGCTTTGTTTTCTGTTGCAGATCCAGAACCGTGCCCAGATTCTGACTTCCTCCTCTGGATCCTTGCAGCAGTTAGTTCGGGGTTGTTTTTTTATAGCTTTCTCCTCACAGCTGTTTCTTTGAGCAAAATGGTGAGTGTGATGTCAACAGTGGACCATTTCTGATGGGGATACCTTTAGCGGTATCAACTGACCAAATGATGGTGCTGAGTTTAGTGTTCTTGAGATGAGGCAATAAATGAAGAGGAAGAAGGCCAGTGGTAAAGAACACACTAGAACCGTAGGCATTGGCCTTTGAGGTTTCAGAATGACTAATATTTTAGATGAATTTGTTTGATATCGAATGTTCGTGTGCTTCTGAGCAGGGTTTCAATTTGAGTAACCATTGCAACAACATGGGGCAGCTGTTTTGCTCTTTGTCTTCATGACAATTGTACTTAAGCTAACAGCCCTGAAACACGAGATTAGGTTGGGCAGAATGCTGCTAGAGAGGACTGCCTGGATAGTCTTTACTCTCCTTCTTCATGTCCCTCTCCATCACCTGGGAATCATCTCTTGGTGCCACTCTGGTGCCTTCCTTGTCCAAGCTGTAGCTGCTCACATAACACATATCCCTATTATCCAGTTTGCTTGACTGGGAAGGTTTGCCTTCCCCTTCAGCCAGGAAATGAAAGTCCCAGTTTCTATTTATTACAGGTGTTGGAGGTGGAAGAGGTGAAGTATGGAATCAGGCCTCCTGCCAGGATTTCTTTTTGACAGTCCCTTTCAGGCACCTCTGCCTGAGGCTGGCTTTGCCATTACAAATTCAGCATTCTCCCTCCCTCCCGTCTTCTCTTCGTCTTCCTTCTTCTCGCTCTTTCTCTCTTTCTGTTTCTCACTCTCTGTCTCTTACACACACACACAAAGATACACTCTATTCCAACATCCTTTACCCAACCTGACAGACATGTCCTTTGCTGTAGGTTCAGCAGTGGAGATGAAAAACACAGCTCTCAAACGGGAAAACTAAAGCTTCTTACCTTATCAGGCTTGTTCCCTTGCAGACTAGATCAGTCGATTACCATAGGCTTTCTGGGTGTTCTTTGTGAAGCTTTCTCAAAGCCACTTTTCCCTAACTTCCGGTCAAGGCAAATGATTGCCATTTAACATCAAAATCACAGTTATTCATCTAAAATAAATGTTAATAGCTGAATCAAGAAAATCTCCTGAGGTTTATAATTTTCTATGCTGTGAACATTCATTTTTAACCCAATATGTGTTGAGTTCTACTATGGTTAGAAGCAGTTTCTGTATTCCTCAACAGTAATTACTGTTTCTTTTTGTGTTTGACAGCTAAAGAAAAGAAGCCCTCTTACAACAGGGGTCTATGTGAAAATGCCCCCAACAGAGCCAGAATGTGAAAAGCAATTTCAGCCTTATTTTATTCCCATCAATTGAGAAACCATTATAAAGAAGAGAGGCCATATTTCAATTTCCAAGAGCTGAGCCAATTCTAACTTTTTTGTATATTTGGGGGGAGTTCATCTCTCTTTAATATAAAGCTGGATGCAGAACCCAAATTACATGTACTACAATTTAAAGCAAAGGAGCAGAGAGACAGAGCTGGGATATTTCTGTCACATCAGCTCCACTTTTAGTGAAAGCATCACTTGGGATTAATATGGGGATGCAGCATTATGATGTGGGGTCAAGGAATTAAGTTAGGGAATGGCATAGTCCAAAGAAAGAAGAGGCAGGAACTGAGGGAGAGGACTGTATTGTACACACCTTATATTTACATGTGAGAAGTTTATGGCTAAAATAATCTTTTCAAGTTAAAATTTATGCCTTTTGTTTCTTAAACAAATATATAATTATATTATGGCTTCAAAAATACTCACATGGCTATGTTTTAGTCAGTGATGCCAAAGGTTGTATTTCGTATGTATACACATATATTTTGAATTTGATAGTATTGTGCATGGAGCCACATATGTTTTTGTGTATTTGTTAATGGTTTGAATATAAACACTATATGGCAGTGTCTTTCCACCATGGGTCTCAGGGAAGTTTTGCAGAGGAGCTCAGGACACTAATGCGCGAGGTAGAATATAAGGTCATTTGCTAACTGGCTTGGAAACTGGATGAGGCCATAGCAGTGCTTGATTGCACAGAATTATGCTGAGTTGGCGTTGACATGTGCTTTGGGGCTTTTCCACCAGTTCCTTTCAATGGTTTGCAAGGAAGCTACAGCTGGTGGTATCTGAGTTGACTTGAGACACTGTCTTGAAGACAATGGCTCACTCCAGGAGACCTGTAGCTATAACCTTCTAGGAAGCTCCAGTTTGACGGGCCCAATTCTTATAAACATGTGGTTAATGCCATGGGCAGAAGAAAGCAGCAGGTGGCAGAATGGGGTGCATGAAGGTTTCTGAAAACCAACACTGCTGGTGTTTTTAACTCAATATTTTCCATGAAAATGCAACAACATGTATAATATTTTTAATTAAATAAAAATCTGTGGTGGTCGTTTTTCAGAGTTGTCTTTATCATCCTTGCATTTGAGTATTGTGTCTAAATTTTTGATTCATTCATTCAGTAGTTGGTGGAGTCTCCAATATTAGAAATACTGGAAACAAACTGAAAAACCACAAATAATTGTTTTGAAAAATAATGCTTCTTGGGTCAGCTTTGCACCAGCCCATTACCTGCGAGTCATTCTTGGAAGGTATTCATCCTCTTTCTTTTGATTTCTTCACCACTATATGGGATATAATGTGGGTTAACACAGACATAGCAGTCCTTTACAAATCACAGGGCATGCTGTTTAACATAGGTTCTTCACCTCCTCTTTCTTACCCACTTTTTTCTCAGCTCAACTCTCACAGGCATTGCAGTTGTCATGGCAACTCCAATGTTGCCAACTGGGCCCCTTGCTGCCATTTTGATCTGCCTTCTTGACAAGTAGAGCTTTTCCTTGTGGCTTCCAAATGAACTATTTTGCAAGTGTGGGGAAAACACACCTGTGTCCTATGTTACTATCAGCTGGCAGACCTGGGCCTGGCACACTAAGCCTTCTGTAATTCTTGGTTAACCAATGTATAGCCTCAGCCCGCTTGGTTTCCTATTTTTGACCTCCACATCCTGTTATTGTCTGTGCAATGATTCTCAGTGTGGTCAGGGACCCCCTGTAGCCAAATTCACTGGGTCACTTACTAAAACACTAATTCATGTACTTACTCCGAGATACATTGAATCAGAATCTTTGAGTGGTGGGGTCAGGAGTTTGCATTTCCAAAAACCTTCCTAGTGCTTCTTATACCCACCAAGTTTCCAGAATCACTCCTTAGGTAACTTTCTCTGTCTGCGTCTCTTCCTCTGTCTCTCCCCCTTGCTTATTTTCTTGGTTGCTCTTGCTCTCTTTCTCTCTGTCTTTCTTTCCACAGCAAGTGCTAAAACACACACAAAACAGCACATAGTAAGCATTTCATAAGGGGTTGTTAAATAAAAATGAATAGGTCTTTCAAAGTAAGGTAAATATTATTATCTAGAATGAACTCCTTTTACGTGGAAGACTGTGCTTCTTGCTCACTAGGCCTTTGGATGGCAGCCATGAAGAAAAACACTAACCAGGGGCCTCAGTGGATAGTATGTCCGTGCCGCTAAATGATATTCATTTAGTATATCATTTCTACTCCTCTAAACATCTTTAGAGAGATGATTCTTTTTCATAGTTGTTGGGTAGATCTAAGTGACAGAGAGTGCCTTACGTAAGTGATTCCCCCCAGGTACTTTTCAGACACCCTTAGATAATGGATTACTTTATCTAAGCTTAATATTTCCACTGCTATTGCCTAAAGTTCTACCATTTGCTGTTCACTGAGGTAAGCCTTGCCCTCTTCATTCAGTCTCAATCTTATAAAAATAAAATCCCCTTTATCTCAAAAAAGCTTCCACTATGGAAGAAGAATTGTATAAGAAAGATTGACCTGGGGTTCCGCTGAAAAGGGAGAAAGCAAATATGAGTGCATCTGGGCACCAGATGAAAGCCTCTTCTAATCCCATGTAATTTATGAGAGGAGATCCTATGTCTGCAGTACTCAGAGAGGTGCACTGACCCCAAGTCAGAGGACCAACTGTCTCATGGCATTCCAAACTTTATCACCATCTCTGTCTCTGGGGTCAGGGTCCTGGGGCAGTTCAAAACCCGAATAATCCATGAATCTCAAAGGGGCTTGGCCTACCTTGCAGGGGGATCCTGGGCACTGTGACCCTCCTCCCTGGAACCACTTGTCCCAGGCAAGAAAATGCGGATGACAGGGGAGCCAGATAGAGCTGCCAGGGGCTGCATTGTCAGCCCCTCCTCCAACATGGCTCCGAGCACATGCCTCTGCTCATCTCCCTTCCTTCAGCGTGGTACCCTCATTCCTGAGACTTCCCATTTACTCATTTCTCACCTCCAAATATTGTAATCCTTCATTCTCACACGCATCAAGACTAATCCCAAATTTTGCCTCCACAATCAGATTTGCTGACACTTTAAGCTCATGTGGATTTCTCCCCTTTTGTTTCATAGCTATTGTTGGTTTCATCTCTAATAATTTCAAGCATGCATGTCTTTCCTGCCTAGTTAGATCAGGAACTTCTCCAAGACAGGGATACTCACAACTTTAGGCACACAGTAGATGCTCAAATAAATGGATTGAGGAATTGGGGAACTAGGACCTCCAGGACTATAGGAAGAACAACTGTCTTCCATATGGAACCCATCTGTATTTTCTCGGGGAGTCCCAGCTTAATCTCCTTCCCATTTGATTGACAGAACTACGTGCAGGTCTACTCATCTTTCGGCTTAAACCTTAAAGACTCTGGACTGTGAGCTCCAGCTGCCGACTCTGCTCCACACGTTGGACTTTTATCTCAGTCCAGTCTTACTTCTAATCTTTTTCTTTCTTTGGTGAATTCGGATTTTTATTCTTTTTCTCTTTTGAATCATTGGTTGTTGCTAAAATTGACTATATTTTTATATCCAGTCTAAGCCTTCTTCCGTATCAGCAGTTAATACACAGTTCATTTAATTTAGTTGGCACTGAACTTGTGACACACTGATGTCACTGTGTTGTTAACTGGAGCAAAACAAGTTAAGAGGTTCAAGACTTTACAAATCAAGTTATTGTTTTGGAAGGTCTCAAAGCAAAGGAGAACATGGCTTTCTCGAAAAATTATTCCCATTGCCTCACTTGTATTTTGCACCTGTTAGAGCCATGACTCAGGCTCTATAGAGACCTTGTTTTATTTCATATACATTTTTTTCTCATCTCAGGTCATTTTTTTCTGTTTAGTCCAGAAACATGAAACATCCTATGGGTAAAAAGGGAGGAAAACTTTACTTTTTCTTCTTTTATGTTTCTTGGCTACATGCTGGGATAGGGGTTTATAGTAAGTTTGCCAGATTCAACCAAAAAAACCCACAAAACCAAGAAAACAGGATGCTCTGTATTTTATCTGACAACACTATCTGCAGGAAAGTTTATGCTTCTAATGCAGTCTGAATAAAAAGCGTACTAGAGGCCAGGTGTGGTGGCTCATGTCTGTAATTCCTTGGGAGGCTAAAAGTGGGCAGATTATGTGAGGTGAGGAGTTTGAGAGCAGCCTGGCCAACATGGTGAAACCCCAAGTCTACCAAAAATACAAAAATTAGCAAGGTGCGATGGCAGCCGCCTGTAGTTCCAGCTACTCGGGAGGCTGAGACAGGAGAGTCGCTTGAACTGGGAGGCAGAGGTTGCAGTGAGCAAGATTGTGCCACTGCACTCCAGCATGGGTGACTGGGCAAGACTCCATCTCAAAATAAAATAAAATAATAAAATAAAAGTGTACTAGAGACCCCTCTTCAGAAGTTTCTGAGCAAGAACAGCCTGAGACTGTGACCACTGTTCCAATTGTAACACAATCTCCTGTTCCCACTCCCAGGCACATCTGGGATTGATGCTATGTTACTGGAGGCTAATGGGACCTGCAGAAGAGGTAGCTATTTCTCTTCTAAGCAATTTTCTTAGAGGAAGTTAACCACCATGATGTGTATGGCAAGGAACCTGACATTCAGACCCTTGGAAATCTGCTTTCATGGGCACACTGTATGTTCTTACATTTATTTCATACAATAATTATCTGAAGCATTTGGAAAAAGTACAGATTGAGGTGCCTCCGACCCAGAACTTCTCACTTATAAGATCTAAGGCAGGGCCTGGGGATTTTAATTCCTCAGAGAGCCTTTATGCCATACTTTCGGAAGCTCTGGTCTCACTCAGGGTTCTACCATTTCAGATGATTAGGACTAGAAAAGGGATACTGGAAATGATCCTCAGATTTTAGAAGAATGTAAGGCTCAGAAACATTAGGGACCTTGTCCAAGGTCCTAGGGTGAGGCAGGATTTGAACTAGGCTAAGAAGTCATATCTCCAGGTTTTCACATCAGGACTCTGCAGTGGGTGGCACTGTGCACCTTTCTGACCAGGGGCTATCCTTTCCAGGGTCCTTCTGGGACTTCCCTGTGACCATTCCAGGCCACCCACAGAAAACCTGCTCTTCTACCCACCTCCATCCCAAGTGCTCCTGTGACACCTTGGTGTGAGTATTACCACTGTTGCTGCCCCAGTGGTGGCTCCATCTTTTCTCTTTCTCCTGTAATTTTCCAGGAGACTTAGCAAAAGCATCTCAGGTGACCCAGCCCGTTCTTAGCAATCCTACAGAAGAATGCTGCCGGGGGCCAACACAAAGCAAAACACTGCCAAAAAACAGCCTGTCAAGAAAGCGTGCAGTACACCAAGAAATCTCCTACATGCTGCTAGAAGTCAGGGAACAACCCATGGAGATGACATGTGCCCTTTTAAACACACACAATGAAGTTACCATAGCAACCAACAGTGTTTCAGAAACATGATGTTAGTCACAAGTAATATTATCTATTTGAACGAAAAGAGGAGGCTTTCTCTGATATTGTAAGAAATGTATTTCAGGGGGCGACTGCAAATTTTAGAAGGTAACACAGATAGCTTCTCATGAGCAGCACTTTCCTGAAGGACATCACCTTTTTCTTCCTGCTTTTACCTTGTCGTGTTAGTCCGTGCAGCACGCATCCCTCTGGCAGCTTTCTTCTTCACCTTATTGAAAATGAATTTTTCTGGCTGGGAGTGCTGGCTCACACACGTAATCCTAGCTCTTTAGGTGGGTGAGGTGGGTGGATCTCTTGAGGTCAGGAGTTTGAGACCAGCCTGGCCAACATCGTGAAACCCTGTCTCTACTAAAAAAAAAAAAAAAAAAGAAAAAAATTAGCTGGGCACAGTGGTAGGCACCTGTAATCCCAACTACTCAAGAGGCAGAGGCAGGAGAATTGCTTGAACCTGGGAGGCAGAGGTTGCAATGAGCTGAGATCGTGCCACTGCACTCCAGCTTGGGCAACAGAGTGAGACTCTGTCTCAAAAAAGAAAAAAAAAAAAAAAGAAAAGGAGCGTTTCTTTCCTTCTTTATAGTTAGTT